TCGCCTATGCACAAATTCGACGGGGAAGTCACTTATCACTGAAGATTTAAATAATCATTTCCGGACAGCTGGACATCTTGAAACAACTCCCTCTACTAACGAATTTGGAAATAGCAATTCAGAATTGAAACGCAATTTTGATCGATCAATCAATCAAACTGAAGACGATGGTGACCAAATACGCACTGCCCTTCAAATCGTCGGTGCGCCTGCCTCAGAGGTCGGAATTGGAAGGAAAAAAACAAAAAGTTTATCGCCGCTGCGAAAACACGATATGTTTTCGCGCCCTTCTCCTGGAAGCGACGACGATGACACCAATCACTTTTATTCGAACAGTTCCTTGAACTCTCACGCGCTACCATCATCATCAAGCGCTGAAGTGAGGCAAACCAAGCGTGATAGTGAGCCAGACAATTCGATAGCTGACACGAGGTTCCTGGCCACTGAGCCTGGTGTAAGGAAAGAGATTCAAGGCGATGCAATATTTACCCACTCAACAGCGAAGCCATTCTATTTGCTCTGCAGGGAAGAGCGTGGAGTAGCGACATTTGACGATGATGAGGCCAGTTCGCGTTCATCCAAGACTCTGCCCCTCCATGGAGAGCATCACGAAAATTTTTCAAAAATTACTTTTCACACATCTAAACTGTCGAGTACTACAGCAAGTTTAGATCGCAATATGCAGGTGCAATCAGGCGTCGTGGATTTGAATGATACTGAAAGATTAGTGGCTCCAATTTTATCTGCTGCAGTTATTGTTCCAAACAGCAGTACTCACAAAGAGTTGCATTTCGATTCATTTCCAAGTTCAAGTGAAGTTACGAGTAAAAAATTGCCTGTCTCTAATTTATACAATACCAATTTAAATTTCCAAGACGTTCCCTCGTCTCAACATCAGCCGACAAGTGTTGCTGGAGGATGTTTACGCAGTTCTGGTGAAGCTAAAGCTGCAACCATCTACGTACCAAACATTGAATCGGTTAACTCTGAAACGAAAAAAGGCCCACAGTCGGAGTATAATTCTAATCCCACCTCTCAAGCCATGGAATTTAATCAATCTACTCATATTGAAAAAGCAGTTTCTTGTGTGAGTTATTCTCAGTCTCTGAAACACGAAGAAAATATAAAGCAGAGACACAAGCAAGTGAGGTTTTGTTCCCTGCCTGATTTGCCGCCTCACAGAACTGTAAGTGGTTCTGATTCTGGAGCTCCCACATTGAATAAAATGGTTGGAAAGGATCCAGGGATTGATGTTCCCGCAAAAATTGAAACGGATCGTCCCAAATCCAGAGCTCCTCGTTGGTGTCAGATCCGAGACGGGCCATTTATCAAAAGCCTGCACACTCCTAGACGACACAGCGAAGCGTTTAAAAACCACGTGGAATTTTTCGAAACTCAATCGACCCAATCACGGAAACGGCTACTTCCTTCTTTGGAATCTTTGCAAGTTTCGCAGAACTCGCATTCCACAACTCTTCATAGTACATATAACAAAAACATTGACGATCGTCATGAAGTGGAGACTGACACGCAAGATGAAGATACCGACAGTAATTTGAGGAAGCAAGTTGTGCACTTCAACCAGGATGTTCGTTGTACAACCCGTATCACTTCTTCAACAACTCAAGCAGCCATTCAGACCTGTGAGTCTGAACTCCCTGTAGCAGGATGCTTGATCACCTGTCCATCTGAGGGGGAAAGTTGCGTCAGGGTTTCGCCGGACGCGAGGGTAAAGGAAGAAAAATCGTCAACGTTTTGTGCTGGCTCTGACTGCCACAAGAACACCGGAAATGAGAGCCTCGGAGTGGCTGACAAAACGCGAAGTGCTCCGCAAAAAGATATTCTTAACGATGTTCCATTGCCAAACTCATTATTGAAGCAGAATTTCCAACCGAGGGAAGAAGAATCCAAAACTCACGATCATCTTAACTCCCAGTTCTGTCAAGGGAATAAAACGACTCAGAGAGATATTGATAACATTAAATTTCATGACTCACAAGAGTTTCCGATGCATTCAACGCCGATAATTGATTATGATGAAAATTCGTTTATATTAAATGATAGAAACGAAGAAATTGAACTAAAAAAATCAGAAAAAGATAGCGATTGCTATCATGAATCGAAATTAGACAAAAATCGATCTGACGAAACTATACACGATTTAGTTCTATCAAAAGACATTCCCGAAATAATATCCGGAGACTCGCAAAAATCTGAATGTACGAAATATTTATGTGGCAAGCCTCAAAGAAAGAGTAATTCTGATGGCAGTGTTTATGTAGCAGCAACTACAGCAAGTGATTGCATTGCACCCGTAGCTCATTTACCCGTCATGAGTGGCTCTGAAATAGGTGCGAGTTCTGCCATTAAAACAGTTGTGTCTTCTCAGTCAGGCGATCGATCTTTGAAGCGACTTGCTTCCACAAATCAGGAATATTGTGCGCCACGCATGGATCCATTATTCATTAGTCTAAGTGAAGTATGTATACCGAAGAAAAATTCATATTTTCTTGGTAAATTGGTTAGAAAAAGCAGCAAGCCCCTTAAGTTCTGTAAAGATAAACTCCCACACGGAAGTCAAAATAAGGAAAAGCTCACCAAAGTTTCTAGAAAAGTCGATGGATGGAAAAAAAACGCGGATGGAAGGGAATTTGTTTCGTCATTGCAGTCAACAGTTGCAAGTAATGACGATAAATCTCCCTTCGACCTAACGAGAGATTTAGGTTTTTGTAAGCCTGACAAGATTATTTCATTTCCTAAGGACATATCATCTGCTGCAAATAATGATGAATGCGCGACGGTCTTTCCTGCTGGTGCTCTGTTCCTTCCCACCGCAAGTCAGACGAAGGCGGAGAAAGGACTCAGTTCAGTTGCTAAAATTTCTGAGATAGTATCAACTTCAGACCCTGCATTCAATCGCACTCCCGACTCGATGCGAACTGCAGTGAAAATCAAAGGCACGAGAAGGCGAAACGCTTTATCGAATATTGACGATAAACAAAGTATTGTCCAAATCTTGAATCATAGGACCCGCTTCTACGATCAGTCTAAGGGAGATATAGACGATCGAAAACACGATTCAAGTTATGAAGACTCGTCAAAAATTACTGGCAATGGTAGGCCAAATGTCGTTGACGTTTTACCTGAAGATCTTCACAGATGTGCGTTCAAATCCAGACGGGACGCCATTGCTTTTGATTGTAAGACTCAGCTGCTGCCTAACGCAACTAGCGCGTTACCGCCTACATCTTCTTTTGTATTTCGTCTACCTACAATATTTTCCAAGTCTTCAACAGCCGCTCGACGCCCAAGTTCTTCGTCAGACGATTCCGCGGAAACTATTATTTGTAAAAATGTTTCCGATATAGTAGAAGATGACCGCAAATGCTGTCTAACTCCTCAAAGATCCATCTCTTTTGAGGATATTACCATAACAAAAGACACAACTTCGAACAAAATATCGTCAAGACAAATCATATCTCGACCTCTCACCCACTCAAAATCTTCCATCGAGCTAAACGCATCGCAATCTTTTGCGGCAGGCCCGAAGTTTCGGCACTTAGGCGATGAAAACCAACTTCATGGCAGCATTCATGGCTCGCTGCTCTCCGTAGTTAATTCTGATTCCGACTCAGAAGAGGCCTCTCGGTCTGTTTTCTACGATGTTTATTCCGAGGTGCTGGCGCCTGCAAGCCAGAAAAACAACTTTCGATCGGAGCTGCATGCGGAGTGTTCTCGTGCGCCTCCTTTTAAAAGTCCTTACGATGCTTTCGGCATTCCGAGGGAGAAGAATGCTCTTCTTAAACTTCTCGGTGCTTTTCAGTACATTAAGGTAATAGGAATTTTCACAATGGAAGACAAAATTATGCAGAGCGATCACTGTTTATTCTAAACATGTTATCTTTGAAAATTTGGATTTAATTGGTCCTGATTTAATTTAGATCCAGTTATGCGAAGGCTGCTTGCCTACAATTTAATTTAGTATGGATTATTTATTATTTACTATTTCTGAATTATTTTTTACGCTGTACTGGCTGCCAAGGCAATCTAAGCAGGCATTGTGTTGAGGAGCCCACTACTTTGGAATAATGATCCGTTTTCACAAATTTTTAGTCTTTCAGCATTTCACATCTGAAATTTAAAAAAAGTTATTTTTGAGTATATTTTTTATGAACTACAGGAAATCTGGTTTTGTGAACTACTTTAAATTGGTTCTGCTGGAGAAATTTCAAAATTTTAGGTCTCAACAAGCATTTTTACTACGTTTTTCTTAGCTCGCTTTCGTGTCCGTCTGTGATGATCAAATCTTGCAATCGATATTTCACCAACTTTCCCGCTAGCTAGCGCTCTGAAACTTTTAGGGAAGCTCAGCTACCGATGACAATACAATAATCAATAATTTGTTGCGCGGTTCCAGGCGTATTTATTCAATGAAATGCGTGGAATTTATTCAATTGCTGCATGAAATGAAATGAAATTACATGCACCAATGTATCCCCTCGGATACAATTTTCTACAGAACTTCGAAACGAATTTTCTTTCGTGCATTTGCGTGGCCAACTGAAATAAAATGAATATTATGTAGAACTAAAAATGAGAAAATAAAATACTTAAAAAAACTTTTTAAAAAAACCACGTTTTTTGGGGCGAGCCATAATTTATTTTCTACTTTTTAGTCCACAAGAAAAACGTGGTTTTTTAAAAAGTTTTTTTAAGTATTTTATTTTACCATTCAATTGTTGTTTTTGTAATAATATTTTTTTATTGCTTTCAAAGGCCCGCGTAAGAAACTTTTTCATCTAATTTGATCACCTTGATTTTTTAGTTTGTTACGTAAATTTTTCGCAGAAAAAATAAACAAAGCACATTTTAATTCTTTGTATAGCTATTGAAATTTTATTAAAATCGACTGTTTTCGGACTTTAATGCCTTAGGCATAATTACTAAGAATGCGTTCATTATTATCATTTTACAAGTTATTTTATGTTATGTCACGACAGGACCCACGAACCGACGCCCTGGTGCAGAAGTTGGACTTGTACAGCAAGCAGGGCATCCCTCGCCAGCCCCACCTCCTGCCCTACCATTCCGCCGACACTCCTGACGAAGGTAAACTTCAGTCCTACCACTCCGCCGACACTCCTGACGAAGGTAAGCATCAGTCCTGCCACTCCGCTGACACTCCTGACGAATGTAAGCTTCAGTCCTGCCACTCCGCCGACACTCCTGACGAAGGTAAGCTTCAGTCCTGCCACTCCGCCGACACTCCTGACGAAGGTAAGCTTCAGTCCTGCCACTCCGCCGACACTCCTGACGAAGGTAAGCGTCAGTCCTACCACTCCGCCGACACTCCTGACGAAGGTTAGGATCGTCTTGAAGAGTTATAAGATGATGTGTCATCGCTAGACCGAATTATTAAGGTACAATGCACATAAGAATATTATCATGACATAAGGCCATTGTGTTGGCATCATTGTTTAGTTTAAAAATGGTGTCTCCGACTGCTGTGATGCAACGTCTATCAATTGCCTCAAAATTTCAGGTGTAACTCAAGTTGCTATCTCCACCTTTTCCAAATTACTTCCGCAATGATTAGTCCAAAGCTAAACTTTAATTACATATTTCAGCTTTAGTTTAATTTATTCCAACGCTCCTGACCGATATTTGCCTACCAAACTTGAATTAATTAAACGAAATTAAATTCCAATGTATGACAGGAAGTCAAATTCCCTTGACACCTGATTACGACCGTGAGACTGACACCTGATTACGACCGTGAGACTTGTGTTGTTGTTGAGTTACCTTATTACTTTTTATTGTTCTTGTGAAGCTCATTTCTTGTTGCCTCAGAGTTCAGACTCCATATTTACCTGCCCAGTAGATTCTGAGTCGGCAGGATTTGCTTCAGTGTTGCACTCCGCATATTTCTTAAGTTGTTTGTCTCGTGTATGACAATCTACTCGAGTTATCCCCTTACACTCTATAAATAACATTCCTGATACACCAATTGTTCTCTTTGTAGCGTATATAAGATCGGCCTATCCAAGCCATGACTATCATTCACTTAGAAATTGAGTTCAATAAAGAGAAAACTTTATCACGGGAACAGGAAGGATTTAATGCATGCTAGCTGAGGCCGATAAGCGAGGTTGCGGGCAGTGATCGATAGGGAAAGTCTGGAAATTCGTGCCGCTGCAAAGCCCGTATGTAGCATCGCCTCGTTCAATAGAATCGATCTTAATGTTAGCATAAATCGTAGTCGCATTATCGGTGGCCGGCCATCAAGCGTGGGTTGCAAGAACAGGAGTGTTCTGAAACTACCTGGATATCAGGTAACATTAATTATATGTTGGTAAATTAATTCACGAAACTAAAATTGTTGGAAATTGGTTTCGTTTATTCAGAAATTGAGAATTATAAAGCTTTGCTATAAAGTTGACCACAAATTGAAAATAAATAGAAAAATACATTTAAAAACACAGATTACCAAGAAATCTTTCACGGACATGAATTAAAAAGTTATTGTAAAAATAAATGTGAACTTCTAAAAAATGAAAACATTCCTCGTTTTCCCCTCGCACTTGGGGGCGCAAGTCACAAAGTTCTCACCACAATCAAACTTCTGGCGCTCAACTGTCTGGGACAGAGACAACTTTTAGGGTTATTACTTACCGCTTAATTAGGTGACAGCCCAAGTTTTCCTCAGTAGCATCCATCGAAAACAAGAGTTATCGTGCGACTCATTTCCCGTAATTTGTGGACCGTTGCCTGACAACATTTGTTAGTACAATGCGATTATGCCCCTGACCGGCAAGTATTTTTAACACAAAAATACGAGCTTTGTTTCGTGGCAACATAGATATAATTCAACGACATGAACGATCGCTATGGAGTTATTTCTTATGCCATAATTGTGTAATTGTGATGTCATACGCGTTGGGTTGCAGCAAGTCCTGGCGATATATGTGAGCATCATTTCTCAACCATATATCTTTATTTGTCCTCGTTTATTGGAACACTGCGAGTCTCCTTTCATGAGAACTGCGCCTCGTCTTCCCCAAGTTTCTATTGTTGCTGAAGAAATTTCTTGTTCCGAAGTTTTCCTCCCACGAGAGGCACCAGCACCGCAATGCCTCCAGTTCCATCTCTTCCATCGATCCGGTTCCGCCATTTGTTTTATAGATCGTGCACACATTTGTTTCATTCATTTGTATTGAAGTATTGCAAGAACCGTGGTCATACAACAGGGTAAAACGGAGATATGTGACATAGGTTTTGAAGAATGGTTATAATTTAATTCGGGTTTAAAATATTGCAAAATAGTCATAACGAATTATCGCTTCAGGGAGTTTATACCCAAGCGACCCTAAAACTCGAAACCTCTTATGTAGAAAATGAGGTTAAAAATATGTTGTACAGATGAAATAAAAATGATTGCTTATTCTTCAAATTATCACAATTTTCCAAATCCTAGCCTCGTAAATTCTATTTGTAAAACAACCCCTTTTAGAGCTAGGAGTCAATAGACCTTGCGTGCCCTCGTTGGAGGTGCGACAAGGACCGAATATCCTTTGGAAGTAATTCACAATTTGCATGAGCCAATACATCGGAGATTTGAATACGACGGAAAATTTTAAAAATAATTGAAACTTGAATATATTTATTTATCCAATGTGCTTTTACTATTTTATCCAAATCCTGTACTTGCTTGAGTTAGTTGTATATGTTTAAGTAAATTTCTAGTTACTGTGCAGTAAATAAAATAATCAGATCATCACTTTTGTTTTCCCGCCGTCCCGTTAGTAGTTTCCAAATCAAGGTAGTATTGATAAAAAATAGTCACTATCAGATCCATATTCATATAATTCCCATTTAACATTTATAGATTTCATATGCAACTTCCGTTCCTATGTGCAAGGGAAAATTACATTTTTCACTGCTGCGAACAAGGATCATAACATCATATTAAAATTTCCACTCGAAACCCCCTCTCTTTGATTTGTAATAAAGCGGGGTTCCGCCGCTGTTTCGAAGTTCCATGCCCAGGCAATAGCTCCACCCGATAAACGTTGATTGTTCTTAAATTTATTTCCATGTCTTCAGTGTTGGTGAGCCGGTGTCAAGAGTTTATTTCCATGTCTTCACCATTATATTTCCAAATATAATGTTGTTTAGTTCGAATAGCTCTTATATATGTATATATCATGACCGTAGTCGATATATTGTAGACTAAATGAAATATTGGAGCAAAGTAAGGGCCTCTTTTTTACAACACTTCTCTTTAATTTCACTTCTTGTTGTTTGTTTGTTTGTCTGCTACAAATCTTATAATCGATATATAACACACTTCTACTTATCATATCGATCTGAAATTTTGCACACTTGTGTAAAGCTGGAGACAATGCATGAATCAAATGACAAAATAAAAATTTGAAATATTATTTTTTTATATTAAAAAAATGAAAAAATAATTTTGTCTGCTACAAATATTATAATTGAAATTTGACACACTTTTACCTATCCCATTGATTTCAAATTTTGCACACTTGTGTGAAGTTGGAGGCAATGCATGAATCAATTGACAGAATAAATAATTTTGAAAAAAATATATATATACAAAAATTAAAAATTAATTTTTTTTAAATTCGAAAATAAAATTCGAAATTCATTGTACATCTGTAACATTGGAGACACTAGATTCTTTAGAAGTGTTGTCTTTAAAAATTAATTTTTAAACGTATAATATTATTATATGTTGGCCGAGGTGTTGCGTTACTATTTCCGCTCCTTGACGAGGCACAGGAGGCCTGGAGAGGCTGTGTGGCATGAGCCTGTTTTTCCTGCGCTATAAACACCATCATGTATAATGACGAAGATATTATGCCTGGCCATGAGCCTCGTCCGTTGTCCAAGAAAATCTCTTAATTGAGAGCGTTCATAAAATTGTACTGTATACTGATATTTATTTTGTATTTAAAATGTTCTTGAGCCGATAATTGTTATATATCATTTGTCAGAAACCTTTAAGTTTTGAACTTAGAGACACTTTACCATTCGGTGTCAGAGACTTTGAGGTTAAAGCGAAAGGATTGTTTTGCTTAATGCATTAGTAAAGGTTAAATTTCACTTATATATGACTTTTTTTACTTATCGCGTTGCCAAGACACATTCATCAAGTCACCAACTCATAGGACCAACACGGACGATTTTTTTGCATAGGTACAAGTGTCGTCGACCTTATAGAGTTTCTCACTTCACTGACGTATTTATTCATGGCTGAGGTGTATTCAATGATCATTTTCTGGTGGCAGATTTTGTGCTGGAGGTCGGCGGGTGGCGGGAGCTGGTGGCGGGCTGGGGGGAGCTGGGGGAGCGTCTGAGCCAGCAGCAGAGCGCCATCTGGGAGCTGGTCGAGACAGAGGCCACTTACTGCCACATGATCCGCGTCATAACTAATGTGAGTCTTGCCTCACCACTCATTAACAATAATAAGCTATAAAGTGCAGAGGTCCTGCTCGTACAATTTCCCGTTAACTCTTCTAGTAATTGTCTAGGATGAATCTTGAATGTGAAAGTTTAATGTTCATTTTCGTACTCCATTTCTAATCTAATCTAAAGTTTTGTGTGCACATAAATGGATAGATATAAGCGTAGATTGGTACACATCCCTGCCTCTACATTGCATAATTAATGTGAGTCCTAATTAAGTAGTCTATGCATAAGTTACCATCCCTAAGTGACTGCTGGAAGTTTAATTATTATTTTCCCCAATTTTTCAAGTTAAATCGGTCATGGGCCGATTAATTGGAGCTAATTTTATTAAGCATAACATTACAGTGGAGGCTAATTGTGCAGGCAGAGCAATTTCGCCGCTAGTTTAATCTTTTAATGATGTTAAGAAAGCAATATTTATCCCCAGGAGCACGAGCTTTAATTGGTAGTTCTTAACTGAAGAATCTCACACTTTATTTATGTGCCGGCAATTTCCGGTGAGAAATCGTGTCAGTCGTCACCCGAAGATATATAGCAAGAAAATGAAAACTTTCTCACCGTTTAGTAAAAATAAAGTTTTTCTTAGCTTAGATGCCCATCAAATTAGAAAATATTATGGGACCTTCTAATTAAAAAAATGGATGCGATTTGATCATGCTTATTAAAATTTCATATTTGGAATTTGTATGGAAGACTTGTATGTGCCTCACTTTTTATCTTGTGAAAGTTTCGTGTCGTGTTCTGTACGGACTCGTGAAAGCCACGAACAAAGTCCTTTCGGAAAACTTGTTTTGCAGAGGACCCTTGTTTGGCATCATTTTTTCCTGCTTCCGCGCGATTTGAACTCGCGGACTCTCTTTGTTAGGAGAGGTTCTGAAGATCTGCTGGTCGACTGATGCTCAAAAACTTTTTGTACCATATGCTGCCAAAGTCATTTACGTGTGATTTTTTCTTTTTTCTCTGTGTATGTTGCTGGCATTTCTTCTATTAAAAGTAAATAGCTTCATGTTTGCGAGCGAAAAAATTTAGACTTGAAACTCAGATCTTTGGTTGCTCAAGGTCTTTTGTTCACGCAAGTTTCGCGCGATTATTTTGTTTTCTTCTGTAAGGATATCATCACTGAATAATATTTTACATTTTGATCAATAATTTAAATGTGTTTAATTTCCCGTTAACTACTCTTGTTGCCTATGAACCACTCTAAATAGAGGACATTTTTCTTGCGCTTCCTTTTAAAGTTCCTACTATAAATATGTAATTCACATCTAACGTGAACTCTAAAGAACGACTACAATTCTTATTGCAGTTATTCCTGTCGTGTCTGTGCAACCTGCAAAACGAGCAGCTGCTGAACGACATCAACACAGAGCTTTTGTTCAGTAACATCCCTGACATTTACCACACGAATCTAACCTTCTGGAAGGACCACATCAGCCGCATGGTTGCAGAGGCAAGACGGTCGAAGCAACCCTTGGACCCAACGCTTCTCTATGATGCCTTCACTAACGTGAGTAAATAATGTAGTGTGTTTACCTGCACTAACGATGGTGCGAGCAATCCATTGTTGGGCGTCACTATACGAGTCTATGGTGCCATTAGATAGTGTGAGGATTGTCTCTGATTACGCCAGATCATTGTTTCATCTTGCTGAAGCAGAAAATAAATTAATAACCTCCATTATTTTATGCATGTTGAAGTGTCCAATTTTCTTAGGTAAGCAGTGCATCCAGAATCTGAGGAAAATCGAGCTTTAGGGTAGTTACAGTTTAAATTCAATCAGAGACTTACCTGGAATAAAGTCGTTCCAATTTCAACATGGAGTCGAAGCTTACTCTTCAAAATAAGTCTACGGAGAAGCAGGTATGTTCCATCCATTTCTTCAGTCCTCAATACTGGAGCCCGGATTGACTACAGCAATCAGAAACTTTATGCGGGGCCGCGCGTTGCAATCTCTTGCTTGAAGTTCGAGCATCGTCCTGAAATTAACATGATAATACAAGACGTTGTGGTAATGAGGTAACTTGAGTGCCGCTGGAGACACTGAGCAGTGCCTGCCTACGCTGCAAGCTCGCCTAATGCATTCTAATTGTATTGTCGGGCGTGTTCAATTATGAAATGCTCCATACTTGGTTAGTATTCGGTATATGGCTCACGTGTCCACGGGTCAGCTTCTCAACGGCCAAGGAATATAACAACAATTTATTTATCATAATACTGAATTTTAAAGGATTAATCGATGTAAAGATAATCTTTTTCGCTGTTGACGCCCCCTAGTGGATTTGCTTTCTTATTCTCGAATTAATTTCCGTTAGTCATGTGTTAAACGCAAAAAAAAAAATAGGAGTGCTAACTGATTCAAGTCTAGTTTTGTGTTATGATCCGTCTCAATGAATTTTTCTTTGCATATTTGGTGGCTCAATTAGCTATTGATCTCTAGTGATATGTTCTCTTATGCTCTGGTATCTTGGACGTAAACATCGTTGCATTCTATTCGATTGCGTAATCTACTAAATAATCGCAAAAAATACTTTGGTTATGAATAATATAATAATAATAATATAATAATAGTATAATAAGAATAATATAATAAATTATGAATAATAATGTGCCATACTACTTCACAAACTGAGATTCGTGTCGTGTATGGAGATACTTTCCCGTCTGTACCATACACAATACACGTTATCGCTGTGCACAAAAATACGAAACTCCTGTTTGTATACACTGTTTGTATACAAACAGTGTTTGTACACAGTGTTTGTATACAAACAGTGTTCACAGTTTGTATACAGAGATACTTATCACCCAAATTCTATGTCCGTCAACCAATATTTCAGCCACAGGGAACTTGTTTGTAATATTTTAAGCATATTTTGGCTTGCGCCTTCTATGCGAGCGTGACGAGTAAAAAGTCTCTGGTGCGGCGGCTGTTATCGCGACGTGTCGGCCGCACCTCGGCCGAGAAAACCTGCTTCGATTAGAAAACAAGTTTAGAGCGAAGTTCGAGCCTATCTAAGCGTTAGCTTTGGGCTTTTCTTTGAATTTGAAACTGATTGATTATATTAATCGCGTGGTTAATCTCGGTAAAACGCCGTGCAAGTCATTAAATCTGCATTCACTTTCAATTCTTTTTCATAAAGAATGTTGTCAGAGAGAAGATCGAAGATTTAGCGAGTATATACCGGTAATACATTTTTTAAATTAGTAAATGTGATTTACATATTCATAATTTAATTTATGAGTTGATGTTTTCATTAATTTAAAGCGGTTAAATTTGACATAAATTTGACTTTGACATCGTACTGCTCCTGTCTACGGAAAAATCATTATATGTACTTCTGGAAGTCTACGGTAATTAATACCATTATTTGAGTAAGCTTTACTCTTACCTGCTGCGTGTGACGAGATATGAAACATCCCGAATCATTCAAACCGTAAACGATCGTGAACTTTTTCGTTTCAATACAAGCGTTGTTCAAGAATTGCAAGAAGAACTCCTATAAAGTTTTTTACTACTATTTTGAACGGGGAAACTTCATTAAAATGGCACATTAGGCTGAATATATCAGTGGGAAGTGTGTATTACTGATTATTAACTGCGTTAAACTTATTTCACAGTTCAAGGAAATATTCAAGCCGTACTCGCTGTACTGCCAGCAACAGACGCAGTGCCAGCAGTACTGCAAGGAGCGCTCCCATGACAACGAACACTTCAAAGTCTACCTGCTGGTACGTCCGAAATAATCTCTACATGATAAGCCGTATTTCTCATTTAAAAATGTTACGAATATAAAAAATTATATTGTTTAAAAAATTCTCAATCATTGTTAGATGCTGTGAAATTCAAAGAAAGCCGTCCTGATAATTATGTAGCATTAGCTATATCTGAAGTTCTGAACAATTTTACTCCGTTTATTTGGTATTGATTGAACAGTTCATGCATTTAATACATGTTTTGTTTTGTTGCTCATTAGTACCTCATTGAAAGTTATTTAAAATGTGGTACGACGTGTTATTTTGTATACTGGGAATAATACGCCGTAAAATTTTACTTTTTAGCAATATCTTTCTCATTACAATAACCGTGTCAAGAAAGTTATTCTTTGTATTACCCATTGCAATTATTCTTAAAACATCCCCAATACTAATAAGCTTCAGTTGATGTCATGCGGTATAAAGCTCACCGAGTTGACGACATTGCAGTGGTGCGAGACTCAGAAGGAATGCAACAGGCTGCGTCTCGTGGACATTTTGGTGCAGCCCATGCAGCGCCTCACAAAATACTCGCTGCTTCTGAAGGCCATACTCAAGAAGACGGACATCAAGGAGCACAAGTGGAAACTCAATGAAATGGTGAGCAGCTCTAGACCTTGATTAAAGTTTGCTGGCTGCTCTCATTCTCTGGACTCTATATGTTTTGGGTTGATATCTTGTTCTAATAGCTTGGAGAATGAAGTGAATTCGTTATCTGTCTTAGTTCCTTTGTACTGACATTTATATTCATTTATTCATTGTGTGTTTTCATTTGGGTTTAAATTATGCGAGCTTGTCATAATACAAATGAATATTTGTTTATATCCACTGCAAGGACTACTACACACAGGACATGCATAGCCTATGTCCAGCCTCTGCTAGCAGAGGCGATCGCCTACACTATGAAAATGCTGGTGTTTTAGTGGCATCAACAAATGATATGCCCATAATTGTTTCATACAATAGTATTACAATGTGTGTNTTCATAGTGTAGGCGATCGCCTCTGCTAGCAGAGGCTGGACATAGGCTATGCATGTCCTGTGTGTAGTAGTCCTTGATCCACTGTTTTAAGCTTTCTCGTCAATTATTTTTTCTGTATTGATAGTTATTATTGGTTATTGAACAAAATTTTAGAATATACAGTAGAAGAAGTAAAGAATACCGCAGAAAAAACCACGATGTATGTTAGTCAAAACTTTACGTAATGTACCGTAAATTGGTGGAGATCAGGTACGATTTAAAAAAATCTTTTCATTACATTTAAAGTGATGAGAATCCTTCCGCGGAAGTGATCATCGATTATTTGGTCTCAGGAAGTACACACACTTTTTTCTGTTTGTCCCGCATTTTCATCGCTCGTAAGTACTCTCGAGATGCGTAGCGTCTGTGTTTACCATTCAATTTGGTGCAGAAACGCTCTTTGCTTCTGCTCTAGTGGGTAAATTGGATACCGCTTCGCAAACGGATGCGAGTTGGAACATAAAATCAACAGTCTACATGCGCTCACTAAAATCTTTTTAGACGTTCTATTAGAGTACATTTTTATGAAATAAAGTTCAATCATATTATACACTCTATGTACAAATATTCTCCCAAGGTGGCTCTCCAATTTTCCCTAAGTTCGTGTCTAAGATTGTTGATACTGTTGAGTAATATCCACTAGTTCAGCAAACCTGTCGTTGAACTGCAAAACCTCTCAGGAATTGAAAAAAGTAATTTCATCTAATGTAGGTTCTTTTGAATTACAGTCCTGGTATTTTCTTGCCCGAATGGATGACTTTGAGCTCGGAATTTTAAATTCATTTGATCTGCCAGCAAAGGATGAGATTAGACGCTGAGGTTGCAGGCTTTGCCAAATTAAAGTACGTGGCGCTATGAAAGTCGGATCCGCTTGAAGCCCTCCATTAAACAGGGCTTCTACAAATTCATCGCACGGACCTTCAATCAGACTACCCAATTAGATGACCGGAGCGACATCGATGCCATCTAATTAATTGAATTCCGTCACTTTACATGAATACTCATGTCCTCTACCTCATTATCAATGTCCTCTACCTCATTATTGCTGTCATTTACCTCATTATCATTGTCATCTACCTCATTATTGCTGTCATTTACCTCATTATCATTGTTCTATACATCACTATCATTGTCTTGTACCTCATTATTACTGTCATTTACCTCATTATCATTGTTCTCTACATCATTATCATTATCTTGTACCTCATTATTACTGTCATTTACCTCATTATCATTGTTGTGTACCTCATTATCATTGTCCTCCACCTCAATATCATTGTCCACCACCACATTATTATTGTCTTCCTCACTATTGTCGCCCTCTATCTAATTCATCACCTTTCTCATCAAGTATCAATGAACTCCTCTAGTCTAACTGTGTGATGATGTATAACTGACGACCACATCCGAACGGTCTTCCACTTTTACACTTCTGTCCAATACTTGTCTTTCTTGCATTTAGGACCCTTAGTGATAGGAATTTCAAAAATTTTTGATTCATTACGGATCGAATCGTCACTCAATATCGATTGGCGCTCTATATAAATAAAATTTATCATAGCTTTATAATTTTTCACAAACAAAACTCAATGGATGGTTCTGGCGCTGCACACCATCATGACTACGATACCTCGTTACAGATCACGAACGTCGAGTGTTTCGTGTCGAACGTGAACAGCGCCCTGCGACACCGTCACGAGCAGGAGCGTCTCAGGGACACCATCGGCAGAATCGAGGCCTACGATGCCGTGGTAAGATCACTTGTAGTCTACCTCTATCAGCAGGAGATTAGGGTACTCCGCTGCCCGCTGCCTATCTTCTGTATTAATATGTATTGATGTTTCGGGAACCAAATGTTAGAGCCTCAATTTATATATCAAATATTTTACAATGACTCAAATTATCAACAAAGAAGTTAATGTCGATTTCATCTGATTATTTTACAGTATCAACAGTTTTCAAGTCATAATTCAACTCAAGATTAATTGATAACTTCTCTGGCTTAGCTTCTTACAAGGTCTTGAGTGACCGTAAAAGGACGTGTAGCGTAATAAAATTAATAATTGCGCGTACCTGCGGCTTCCTTTTCCGTCGCATTCAGAGTATCGAAGACTTCCGTAGTCCATCCTCTTGTGATGTCTTCTTGAAATGTTGCCACACAAAAAAAAAAACCCAAATGCGGTCTAGAAACTGAAGCCTATTTTTAACGTCACATTTTAAAAAATGAGAAATACCCTTGCCTATCCGTTAGCATTATCTTTTACGTAGAACGCTGTTACCCGCGAGGGAATTTATCAAATTTTTGCGTGTAACTGAACCCCGGTTTTTTGCATTAAGAGTGTCGACGTCCCCTCAGCTAACGAGGCGAGCGATCGAGCGTCAGAGGCTAGCCCTCTTTTTAGCTTCCTCCGCGCGCTAAAATTTAATGCTAAATCCGCCGGATTTACGAGAGATTTTTTTCAACAACCGTCCTTCTGGACAAAAAAGGTGCGCTCCCTTTGAATTAGCTGAAAAGAATGCGCATCCTCGGCTATTTTACTGCCGTCTGCATTGTTTAGCGGAATGATGCCAGTTTTTCTGTATTTTCTCAAAGCGTTCAAGTCGCTTTTCTGCGTTGAAGTGATTCAGAGTGTCTTATGGAGCGTCAGCTCTTCTCTTAGTTAAGTGAATCAGAGTGTGTTATGGAGTGTCAGCTCTCCTCTTAGTGAAGTGAATCAGAGTGTGTTATGGAGTGTCAGCTCTCCTCTTAGTTAAGTGATTCAGAGTGTGTTATGGAGTGTCAGCTCTCCTCTTAGTGAAGTGAATCAGAGTGTGTTATGGAGTGTCAGCTCTCCTCTTAGTGAAGTGAATCAGAGTGTGTTATGGAGTGTCAGCTCTTCTCGTTGTGAAGTGTATCACAAAGTGTTACGTATCTTGAAAAAGTGTGAAAAATATTCTATTGATGCTGTATCTTTCTATGTCGTTTTGAAGTAGCATTTTGTCCCAGCTCATTACGGTTAAATTTAAGCTCATTTATTTACTGTTTGTGCTTGAATCGTGAAAACAGGATGCAGCAATTATTGTGCAGAAATTTTTTTATTTGCCATGTTATTTTAACATGTTTTCACCTTTTCCGGCGGATTTTGTGTTGGCATGAATCGTGGAAGCTTGAGGAAACAAGTATTGTTGGGACTTAAAATATCATTCAGGTTATGTCATTGAGTGTTTATGTGAGCAGGAAGCCCGCGAAGAAGAGATCGCTACTAAAGTGAAGCAGCACTCAGAGCTGCACCTGTCACAGCCCATGCCAGGCTGTCCTGAGCACCTCTCGAGGCACCTGCTCCACCAGGGCGACTACAAACTCCGCGATCACAACACCAGCAAGACTGACGTGCATGTCTTCATCTTCACCGATCTCCTCCTCGTCACAAAAGTCACACAGAGAAAGGCTGAAAAAGTGAAAGTGAGTACCACTGTCTGAAAATTCATCGTTAGTTCATAATTTTATCTCCCAATAAATTTTGAAATTTTTTTACCATTTCTACGTAATTATTTTGAACATTCTATCAAATTATTTTGCTCAGTTAGATATTCGTTTTAATTTTTTTTAGAAAAGTACCATTATTTTTTAAAATTCGTAAAGTATTGCAATAGCCTATTCCTCACTAACTAAATATCAATGTCATCTCCCAGGTTATCAGGCCGCCGTATAACATCGAGCGGCTCGTGGAGGTCGTTATTGGAGGCCGGGACTCGACCACTCTGGGCCTCGTGGTGTTGAGCGAGTGGGGCGTCGCCGCGGCCGCCTTCTCGCTCCAAAGCCCTGACACGGCAGCCCACAGAGCCCTGCAGGAGGCCATCAAAAAAGCAAAGAAGCATTACTTGGACGCCCAGTCAGGAGGGCGCGATATGCTGGAAGAAATTACTAGCGGTTTGAGATCTCCTAGACTAGCTTCTTCTAGAGCGTCGAGAGGATCTAGTTTAGCTCCTTCGCAGTCTGGGTCTGTGGATCTAACGGAGGGGTTTGCCCACTCAACTTCCCCTGCGATGCTTGAAGTCAGTGAGTTAAGAGCGTCTTCGGCATCGTCAGAAGACTCTGTAGAAGGTCCGAGGATGGGGCACCACAGCGTTGATGTCCCTTCGAGGCCTGGCACAATGGGCCATCACCTTAACGTAACGTCTTCTCAAGCGTCCGGACAATCTTTACCTAATTTAAGTGTAGTTTCTGGTAATAGTCTCCTTAAAGTACCTAGCCATAAGAACCACGCTCCATGGAATCGCGGTGTCTCCTATCCTCCTCCGTCTCCGAGAGCATTAAGAAGATCTCCGCCTGTACCACAATCACGAAATCCGCCGCTTCTGAAGACGCGTCATGTCGTCAGCACGACGGGGGGAACCACGGCTGCTACGGGCGTCTTTCATCCATCATCCGCAGCGGTGGAAGCGCGACTTCCTGATCAGGTGGAGGAAGAGGATGGCTGCAGGAGCCCACGACGAGTGTGCCGCAGTGACAGAGCTGACAACAGGAGATATCACACAGCCGGTGCCATCGACGATATCAAAGTAAGTACTATGTTTCTTCTGTGCTTAATCTCGTCAATCTATTAAAAATCGTTGAAACAGGTGGTGAAATAATTACAAAAGTGTCAAATTGTGTCATTCTCTCAAATAATTGCCTATTAAGAACTTTCCATGAAGGAGACCTTTAAGTAAACAATTGTTCTATTTACAGAAGCAAGATACCAAAGACTCTAGTATACACAAGAGGTTATCGTGGAACTGCGGACAGCAGCACCAGGTTTCTGCACCAGGAGGTCTTTGTGCGTCTTGCAGCACGCAGACTTTCGTCACTCCATCTAATTCGACGTGCTCGTCGACTTCTTCGAGGCTCACGAGCTCGCCTTCAAATTCATCTCGTATTGTTGGCCAATGCGACAATCGCCGTCATAAACTATCGTGTGAATGTGTCCACTCTTCGTCCGGTGTGTCCTCCACTTCCAGCCTGCACCGCTCCATCACCTCCGAGGTTGACATCCTCGAAAATATTGATAACGCAGAAGGTAAACCTTCTACCCTCTGCCAGGGTCGTGAGTTTTTGAACAATGAACAGTAATTAACTTTCATAAAACTCTATTTCGCCATTATTCTTCCTAGTAGTGTAGAAATTTGTTATTAATTCTTCTTTTCTTCCGGCAGACTGTGATCGCACCATCGTGGACCTGGGCATCGGAGAGTGCCACAGCGGGGGTGAGGGTGCGCTGTCGCCTCTACCCGACTTTTCTTCGCGGTTTTCTCCTCACATTTCCTCGACGTATATCTGCCAGGACTTGGCTGGCGCGCTTTGCGGCTCCGCTCAGTACATCACACAAGTTCAGCCCGATACCATAGAGGTAAGGCGATCTAGATTGGACCATTTCATAAACGACATGTTGATAAAAATGTATTCACTTCATTACTGATAAAATGGTCCAGAGGAATCAGATTTTCCGTTGAATACCCTATTCATGATTATTTTTTAATGAAGAATTCAAGTTTTATTTCAGTTACTTATTTTTCAATCTATTCAAACTGGCTTCATCTATGGCGCAGAATATTATGATGTTAATAACATTATTGTTCCTTATATTGCAGGGTGAAGAAGGGGCTCTCAGTCCTGCTATGGTCACGATCGACGTGTCAAACACATGCAGCAGAACTCCGTCAGGCGTGCAAATCACGGTCACTGAGGGACCCAATCTTCCAGTAGAAGAGTCACCACATCCTGTCATCATGGAAGATGACTTTGGCAACGGCATTAAAACTTCATGTCCCATTTTAAAAACAGATGTGAATACTGCATCTCTTGGTCGTGAAAAAGTAGTTCGCGGACGCGTACCTTTGCCGGCGTTGACGTGCCGACCTGCCTCGTCTGTGACACCTCCTGAGGTTCCGCCTCGCACGTCTTCCCCAAAACTCCCTGTTAAAAGAACGACTTCGAACCCGCAAGCGACGTCTGCCAGCCCTGCTAATGGCTGTGGCTTGAGCACTGCTACTTCCAAACCATCCACTGATCTAATTCGTAAAAGTAACGAAACTTGTCAGGAAGAATCATCAGCGAATAGTTTAGTTACGAGTGAAGATGTCAAAGCCTTGAGATCTGACACGTTCGGTAGCTGTATTAGTGACAGTTGTTCTTCGTCAAAAGTAGTTGATAACGACGACTCAAATAGCTTGTTCCGATCTGTTCCTAGGTTACCTAGTATTAGTGAAACACGAAATGGTTGTTTGGGAACTCCGAGTTCTTGCGCAGATGAATCCTACTCTGACTCTATCGAAATTACTACAACTGTTAAATCTTCGGGTTCTTCTACTCTTCCTCCGTGTTCATCTATCTCTCCTTCTCTCAATACGGACTCTTCTTCTTCCGCATCTGCCTCATCGTCGTCGAAATGTGCCTCTAATTCCTATTCATCGTTGTCTTCTGTCTCGTCTGCAAGTTCGTCCTCGAAACAGAGCTTGTCCCGAGAGAACAGCAGCGTAAGAGAGCTGCTACTCACCGACTCTGCAGTCGAAACTTCGTGAGTATTCTAATGACATGAAACATTTTTAATAAGTTGTTGACATAAAGGGTTTGGTACTGGTCATTGACTTTTGGGATGATATTTCTCAAAATGCTAAACGTAGATGGTCGTCAATTAAATACTTGTCTATCCCATTAAAATTTTCAATTTAAACATGCTTTCATGTATAATTTTTTCATATTGAAATTTGAAATTGATTAATTTGTTAAGATAGACCATCATCTTGAATAATTAACTAAAAGGCAAATCACCTTGAGTTTTTTCATTTCATAATCGCATTTTTCTCTTTTTCAGGGACGTTTGAACGAGACCTCGCATTCCAAAGATGTTATACAAACTCAGTAGTTAATATAATTAGTCTTCATGTTATATCTTTTTCGCTGTAAGTATAGTTGACTAGTTCTAGATGAATAAAATAGTGAGTGACGCGTCGTTAATATTCCAGTATTTAGACCCTAAAGTCATATTTTCGTACGCAGTACCCTTCGTGATTTGAGAAACTATAAATTTGACGAAGTATCATTCATGAGTTTTAGTCCATTAGTATTGAACTTCTACAAATATCAACTGTATTGAATAACAGTGAAAAGTGCAAACACGAGTATTTCAAAGGTGGGTGTCACTTCATATCACGCACTGTGAGGCAAATCTTATCCGTGAGTTGTGAGTCGTTGCAATGTTAGACGCTAGTTGTCGAGTACTGCTCGTGACGAGGTTGAATTGGACGTGCAGCACATATCATTATCTTAATGGACGTCACGAGCACAATACGCGAAGAGGGTGGAATTATTGACGGCTTACAGGAGGACCTCGATGTACTTTTTCAGAACGGACTAGTTTCCGTATTTTTGCCTTCAAATCAAACGCTTCTTTTGCGCCTACGCGAGATATATGCTCATTGGAATTTTCTTCGTCAACTTATTACTTCTTGTGATATGTTTTTATGCGCTTTTCTTCAGAAGGGAAAGTAAATGCAATTTTCAGCGCATTTTTAGCGTTACTATCATTGTGTTAGACAATAGAGAGTATTTTTTGCCTGTCCGATTGCCTAGATGACGAGTGTTGCCAGTAGGTGTACATAATTAGCGTATTACAAATGTACATTTGTAAATGTACTTTTCGATATATTGGCGTTGACAGGGCTTTTTACGCATGCATTTATTATACTTCGAATTCAATGGACAATTCTTGTATTTTTGGCCTGCCACTGCCCACGGATGTAAATATTTGTATGGTATTTGTCTTTTGATGTCAAGTCCTTTTCGCCTCCGAGGATCGTCTTGAGGAAACTTGTTGCCGTTTACTATCACATTTATACCCTTTATGGCTACAGACCAAGCAAGTTATCCGTACTGAGCTCTGTATATTCACATACAATAACATAGAGTAATTGATGTGAATTATTATAGAAAACGCGTCTTTTTTGAACATTCATATACGCCCTTTATTTAATTGACGCTTCAAGACATTTCATTTTAGTTTCCTTTTATTTTCCCCATGCAAATTCAAAATAGAAAAGTTAATGTCAAGTCGAGTTGATTGATTCGGTCATTAATACTTCCAGTTGATATGCCTATATTAAGTTTCGATATGGGGAGTTTTTTCAGGCGCATCCTTTCATTATTGTTCATAATTCATGACTAATCATTTTTAGGACAAATTCAGATCGCTCGATAAACTGTGTCTTCCACTCGGCTCGATCAGGCTGACAGCAGAAACTCTTACAAATAATCGAGCCCAAAGAACCAAAATCTGACGGTTGCATTCATGTCACTGTAGCACTATTGTCTCGTAACAAATTTTTGGTATACAAGAATTTTACTTTTATCATCCGTTAAAAAAACTTTAGAAATTTTTCTGGCTAAACCACAATTGCGTTTTTCTGCTGAATTTCTTCTGTATGTAACAGAAATTATTTGATCGAATTAATTTAAAACATTGACCAGCAGAAAGCAATCATGCCTCCTTTTCAGCTCAATGCAATCGCGTCGTGGAAGCGTAATCAGTTAGTATTATTACTCACTTCTATTACTTCATTACCCATCATTTAAAATGTTATGTTTGAGTTATACATATTTGAGAGCAAAGTTTTGAGTCACTGATCGCATTTCCTAAAATGTAGAACAAGCGATCGCCTTGTCTTGGGAAGTCAGAGATTTATGATGTTTCCTCATCTGATGATGCGGCATCAGTACCTCTTTAATCCGACTTATTTTAATTGATTTTTTCTTTTTAAATTTGTGCTTTGTTTGTTCGAAAGTATAAATTTGAAAATATCTATGCTGAATAAATGAACAGCTATTTACATTGTTTTCTTTTATTGTTCTTTAATTTTTTATGTACATTCCACGAAATTAATTTAATTTTGTACTCGTCGTTCGTGAGTTCGGCTTCTACGCCCTAGTCATAGTCTGATAAATTTGTCTTCAATTTTTCGAATTTGACCCTCATCGTCGGTTTGTTGATGTGGTGATTCAACACGAACGATGACTTTACCTTCGGCGCCGGTTTGTTGATGCGGTCTTTCAACACGAACGATGACTTTACCTTCGGCGCCGGTTTGTTGATGCGGTCTTTCAACACGAACGATAACTTTACCTTCGGCGCCGGTTTGTTGATGCGATCTTTCAACACAAACGATGACTTTATGAGAACGTTGATTCATAAGACTTGAGTCACTTAGCTCAGGGAAGAACGCTAGCCCGGCAGCGCTCCGGTCTTTCAACAGTGGCGAGGCTGTGATTATGGACGAAATTTTCGCGCGATTGTTCGGTGTTTAGTAAGTCGCACGCGGGGCAAGTGTTCTTCCAATATTTGGTAGATTTGTAAGGGTTTTCAGATTTTATGCTCTTGATTCAATAACTCAACTTAGTTATTATTAGAATACCTTTCGATGTGCTTCACCTAATGATACGGATTTCAAATCCAAACATTCAAGTGATTAGCTAACAAGATTTAGAATTGATTAAATACCAGTTTCATCATTAGGTGGCGTTTTTTTCTAGAACGCCCGAAATTGTGCTCGCTCGATGCATTTTTTAGACATGACACTTGAACTCACGAACGTGAATTTTTTAATCGGCGTTCAAGTTTGACTTCCAGCAATTTTCTCTGCACGGAGAATAATTCATCATCGATTTCAAAGTTTCGTCAACAAGAATCCGATTGCAATGATTTAGGAATAGAAATTTTAAAACAGTCGCCGAGATCTGAATTAAATTTACTGATAGCGACGAAAAGCTCTCGAGGCTTCGACGGCATCCACCGAGTAGAACCCTCGTCACTCTGGCACGGTCTTCGCTTGTCTGGGGGAGACTTGTGAAGAAATTAATAGGTGCTAATTTGACGGTGGGTTCCTCAACAAAAGCACATATCAGTTCTTAATTTCTGGCCTCGGTTTCTTAAAAAGATGGATTCCATTCTATGAAACGACGTGTCGTATAATACGTACAACTTTTCACGATAATAATTTTATACATTATTCTACATTTTATGTTTAAATGCGAGCTTAATCCTGTTTATCACTCGATAGAAGTGACGTCCTAATACTATTCGTACGTGAATATGAACTAAAGAGAAAATTATACCAGGTCTGGAGCAGCAGCGAAGCACCCGGCTCTCTTGGCCGCGCTGCCGCTTCAGACTAGTGTTAATTCTATTCGTTATTTCTCAAATAACGGCAAATACTTGCTGATAAGTCTTAACGTTTTAGTGCCGATACAGTTTCGTTAGGACTGGCTCATTTGTATTCCAAGCTTACAATTTGGTAAAATAGAGTCACCCAGGCCGTTTTCTCAAACCTTTGAAAATGGCTTTATAATATTGAATAGATCAAGCTGTTCTCAGATTATTATTTCTCGAATACAATTTTCATTTCAATAATCAAGCCGTTACACACATAATCGATAAATCCTGAAAGATTCATGGAATTACATGTCAAGATATTTTCCGAATGCTGATTTCACGATTGATTTTAAATAACTTTATAGCTCAATTACTGGACATAAAATTATTCAAAGCACTAGGGTTATCAACAGAATAATGTTGGGTCACGTTCTATAAGAATTTGATCGAGGGGCGCATTATATTGTCCTGCTGTCGGCACTAAACTGTTAACAAAATCTTTTTCCAGGGGAGACAAATTTTGTCTAATTATTATCATATAAGGCAACATTTGCTTCAAGTTGGACTAGCGTAAAATATTTTGTAGTTATTAAGCAATTCATTAAATGAACCTCTTTGATAGCGTGTATAGTCAAGTTTGACGTTTCTAATTAGTATTTAATCATCGTATCAATAACTTTTGTACCCATTTTAATATCATGTATTTTTTACTAAACATTTAAGTGGAATGATACATTTTATACCGGCGCTCCTAATTTAGGAGGTTTTTGGTCGCTTGGAGTGTCTTTCGGAGCAAGCGTTTGTACGCGAGCTTCATTTTGTACACACTGTAAATATTTGATGATTTTGTCAGATCGTCGGAACGATTTACTTGCTCGGGACCTCAGGTCGTTCCAGTGAGATTTGCCCAGTATTTCGAGATGAGTTTGAACGTGCCATCGTACTTGGTCGATTTAAATATTCACGGTCTTCTGAGCCAATATTTGGTGGAGACCAAGCAACTCTAATACATTTTGGTATTGCGGGTCTTCAAAGCCGATATTCGGTCTTTATTAATTAAAGACTATTTGGTACATGGCTTTATATTTGTTGCAGCTGCTCAAGAAGACAGAGAAGATACGTCGCTGTAGCAGCTGTTTTGTAGCTTTAAACTTTGTACAGATCGTCGACGCGGCCCTGCACTATTATTGTCATCGTTGGATGAGACGACATTTATGCGGATTTATTGATCATTAATCTCATTTCCTTTTGAATTAAAGACAAGAAATAATGTCTATCATTCATATTTATACTCCTACTTTACCAATCTTTAGCAAAATTTGTTTAAAAAAATTAAAGGGAGACTCATTCAATAAGTCTGTAGTGATCGTCGAAGGGAGTTACACAATATATTGTATGAGCTAAGATTCCTCAACTGGCAACATTCGTCATCTCAGGTATAACGGATTCAATTCGTCGATGATATGCATTCATCATTTTCCTTTCAGATGCCTTCAGTCTCCAATGTAACAGTAATGGAGTATGCATGTCGTACGAGAATACGAAAGATCATGCATTTCGTCTGTGAGTGATAAGCTAGAATTTCGTTTTGTTGCTTGGCAGACCGATCGTTTCTCTGGTACATGCTTCTAATGAAGAAAGTATACTTGTGTACAGAAGTTTCATTATATTAATGAATTATCCATTACTTTAAATGAGAATACATAGCCATCGAAGTTGTAGCGATCAATTTTCTTTTTGATTGCAGAACACATTATTCTTTTCTTGTTTTTTTTATCGCTTGATCATGCTTATATGAGGGGAGGGAGGGTTCGTAGAAAAACTTCTATGCAAAAAACTTTTTGATGAAATCCAAGCAGCTTCAATAATAACTTATCTCTGATAGTATTTAGATCACTACAGATACATGTTAGTCGTTTTTAACAACGAGAGTTAAATTGAACATAACTGAAATGTTTATGTGAATTCTTTGCTTTAGTGTTGGCCAACTTTTCTTCTGTGAATACAAATTAGGAAACTTTTATCTATAAATATCTATTGTTATGAAAAACTCAATAAATTCAAAAATAGAACCGTGGAGAATATAAAGAAGCTTGATTGAACAATGGCTTCATTTGCTGATATTTTCCAGATAACGCATCGCAAAAAAATAATTTATGCTGAAGGCTTCCTCAAAAAAAAAACACGTTTTCGCGTCATTGTTTGGCGAACCATATCAAAAACTTTGAAACTGTTTATTGAATGATATTTTAATAAATTATGAGGAGAATATAATTTACTCAATATTCAAGGTCTGTCGAAGAAACACATCTCATACCGCTAAGACGAAGAAGTTTTTATTATAGTCGCTGGACTCTCACTCCTTAGAGTGCAAGGTGAAATGCATTGAAATATGTCCATTAATAATTATTGTAGATATTATTGGCCATTTGTATTTTGTTTATTTTAGGTTGAGGCAGTGCCCTTAACAGATTTCCATAAATAAAAAAAAAGTTTTATTTTAATTTTTGATTCTCTATATATCTATTTCTTTTCCTCAACGCAATAGGCATCACATGCTAATGTTTTCATAAAAAAATAACAGAATCAAGATATGCATGAAAAATGGCCGACTTCATTCTGTGGAGAAGTTCCAGTTTGATTGCATTAGGTTTCTCATTGCAAACTAAATGAAATGTAACGTCAAATATGTTAACGAGCATTAAAAATTGCTCCCGATCAGAGTTTAGTTCTTCGTCACTACGAGTGATGAAAGAGGAATAATCCCTTCTAAAAGTAACCTCTAATCAAAAAAACTATAGCAACCGGGATCCACATTCCTGAATCGAAGATTTCTTGCACTGAATACGAAGACGTCCGCCAGCATCATGCAGCGACGAGAGCAATCGCAAAGATCAATGTAATTCGTTTAGTCAATTCATGTGGTTAATGTTTTATATTTGTCAAGTTCAATGCCCACCCGACGGAGATTATATTTGTAAAATTGTTATCGATTTTTTCCACCTAAAACAGATTGCTAGACTGCATCATTTGACAAACATTAAACTTTGATCTTGGAAATTTTAACATTTATTTCAAATTCGAAAAAAGCAAATACATTATTCAGTTCAAATTAAGAAACCCACGATCATGTTTTGTTTGCCGGTTTAAACGCATTCTTCCTTACGATTTACCTTCACTTTCTAAGTTCTGAAGCCGCGCTGTTTTGCAACATCTCGACAAATAGTGGCAAACGCCTGGTCATGAAACAATGCAGCGCTCTGCATTTGCTTAAAAATTTCAAGTCAATTCATTTTGCTTATTCAAGAAAAAATCTAGCAATATATTCATTCATAAAAAAGTCTTAATTGATCATAGGAAACTGTTGACGGATAAGTGATCCAAAAATATTTCTGCCAGCCATTCTTAATATCGTCTCACTACTTTTCTAATTTAGTTTTATGCAAATGAATATCATGTTAAAATTTTGAAGTATTAAAAATTACGTTATGTCAAAATGAGTCTCATGCTTTGTACTAGTACGAACTTGTTGATAACTAATTTTTCATTTTAATTAAAACAAAACTTGCACTAATGGGAACCATTTTATCCCATGCTGTTTATGTCCTCTGTTTTTTGTTCCTACAAGTTCCGCGAACTTGCATCTCGAACCTATTTGCCAAATTCAAGCGCTGCATTATAAAATTAACTTGAAACTCTTATTAACTATGAGCACAGAAATGATCGTAGCTTCAAAAAAGTTTAAGAAAATAGTACTGCGTATAATTGGTGGTCTCAAACCAACAGCAATAAAGAAATGATCTACCCGAGACTATGCTAGTTCTTTAACCCCTCGAAAAATTCCCCGACGAAAATTGCTTTTCCTATTAGCTCGCTTCTTATGAATGTGATGCATGACGGAATAAGGATATGCAAACTATATTCCAAAAATTGGGAACATAATTTATTGAGAACTTGTCTGGAAGTACCGTATCGTTCGCCCTACTCTCGATGTTAACGACCAAAGTTACTCAGAAATGTTCACTTGATCGTAGTTCAGATTAGCAGATCGTAGGTAACAAAATGAATGAAAGGCATGCAATAGCATAGCAGTGTGAAGGGTAAAGCCTGCCGCATCCAATTCATCCCTCCGACTGCTGATCTGATCTTATAGATCATTATTGAACTTCTGTCCTTGGAGGTGTCTCATTTACTGTCAACAGTTACACAATCAACATAAAAGATCCCCACAATTATAGGAAAACGTAAAGTAACTGTAGAACGAGGAGAGAAATTTGACGTATGCTGATGACCGAAGTGCTTTTTCCAAGATACAGCACGATGACCCATGGCGTACATAGAAATTGTATATATGACGAATGGTTTAATCATCTTTGAGTTTACCAGTGAGCAAATCACTGACATATTTGGCAGGGAACTTGCCGTCTTCAATGGGGACGAGGCCGAAGAAATTCTTGATGTCATCATCGGAGTACTTGTCGCCGTAGGTCATGAGGGCGGTCTTTATGCTGCGAGCAAAAAAAAATTTATCAACACACATTTCTGCCATATTCTACGAAAAGTCTTGTCAAGCCTTCACAAAATTCTAATTAATTTGAAAATTTCCGAAAAAAATATCTGAATTTTTAAATGCCTCAGTGTTATTTTCAACGTAGGCCATGAGCGTTGTTTTGAAGCTACAAAGCTCAGGTCGTCACTGGACATAATTTCTCACCACACTCAATGATACATACTTCAGCTGCTGCATACCACACTCAATGATACATACTTCAGTTGCTGCATACCACGCTCAATGATACATACTTCAGGTGCTGCATACCACGCTCAATGATACATACTTCAGGTGCTGCATACCACGCTCAATGATACATACTTATTCAGTTGCTGCATACCACACTCAATGATACTTATTTCCGGTAGGCGCAAAACTTGTGTAAATGATAATGGAAATGGTGATCGATAATAGTTATTTTCACTCCATAACAGGTAATCACTCCAAAATTATTTATCACTCCTTAACAAGAGGTCAGTCAGACATGCCACTGAAGCCTGTTCGTGACTAAAACACGAACACTGTACGCTAAAGCTGCTTCAGTCAGACATGCCACTGAAGCCTGTTCGCGCCTAAAACACGAACACTGTACGCTAAGTCGGCTTCAACCAGATATGCCACGGAAACTTCATATTGCCTGAAATGCTTCTTCACGAACGCTGTACGCGAAGCCAATCCATCCGTCACTTCAACTGTTAAGATCTCATCTAATGCACAAATTTATCGTTGTAGTAATTGCAATAAAAATTAACTAAAATAGAGCATCACATGTGAACAATTGAAAAAAAACACTCACAGAAGAAAATTATGGAATAAGCATTTCTCTAACAAGCTAAATCACAAGAATAATGATTCAGTTGATTGAGCTTGACTGAAAAGCGAAGGCGGCATCCAAACAAGACATGCACAAACGTCTGGCCTGAGCTCGTTTTGAATTTTGTGACAATAACTTTATTGGAACTGCGTTCTTAGTCGAAGTTGAATAAGTGATCCGTGTTAGAGCACTTTAAAAAAGTAACACTTTAGTCTGAAATTTAGACGAAAAAACAATTGTTGGGTTGTTTTAATCAGCAAGAAAAGAAATAAAATTAGCCAATGTGACAAATTTTCATTTGAGTGAATTGTCAGTTTACACGCTGAAATTAAACTGAATTGAAGGAATGTTTCTTAATCGACATTTATTAAAACTTGACTTTTTTCATAGCTTAAGACAAAAAAAACAGTGAATTAAAATAAAGAATGGTGATTGAACCCTCATTCATCCCAGGCTCCAGCCAGAGTTTTCTTTATAATTTGGAAACTGCTGATGCTATTGGCATACGACCGGAGGTCAGCTTCTACTCTTCTAAAGCCTCGGCAGGCACAAGATTTTGACTTGAGCTAAACTCAGCAAAGCTTGTTTGTTTGTTGAATAAAAACACTCACCGTATCTTCCGAGTGGCGTGTCCTCTTTAACGACAAATTCTATTCCATGGTTCCTAATTTAATCCTGGTAAATTAGATATCTTTTACTCGCACATTATTTAAAACATAGAAATTAATTGGGTATAAATGAGGCTCAGGTTACGTTGTGGTTTATTGATTAACCGGAATACGTATCGAACTCTGTAGTATAAGTGCGCTCTGATTCATGTTATGAGATATTATGCGAGTATTCTTCCAGAAACTTACGATGTAGAAAAATTTTGTGATAATCCCTTTCTACAACCTTTTGAAAGTCATTGTGTAGGAGGTATATCTGGTATTTTGTTTGCTGAAGTTTTCTCATTCGAATCAACGTTCTCAGTCAAATTAACGAGGGCCTCTGCCAAGAGGAAATCAATTCAAGAAAATAAATAAGAGTCTCTGAAATGTTCTGTAACTAAACTTTGAAATTCAGCAAGCCGTCTGAAAGCACAGGATAATATTAATAATAATATTGTATGGCTACTCGTCGTCTTTAAGCTTTCCAGTGAGCATATCACCGCAGTACTTGGCACTTATGAAGCCGTCTTCTACGGGCACCAACCCGAAGAACTGGTTAACGTCTTTCTCAGTGTACTTCTCGCCGAATGTCATGAGGGCGTTCTTAATGCTGCAGGGGAGAGAGGGTGCAGGTCATCAGTCTGGGTGCCGTGGGGGGATGACAGGGGAAAAATTAGCTCCAGGATTGTAACCAGCGTGGAATGAACTTTTTGGGTCAGTAAATTTTGCAAAGAAAAAAATTTAAAACAATTTCAACGAGAAGATAAATAGGAAATAGAGTAGAGACTAACTTCTGTTGAACAATTCATTCCAACATTACAGGATATTATTGATCCATTATTAATAATGATTTATATCCATTATTTTTTGGCAGATGCACCTGCTCAATTTACGACATAGTTTTGTTTTTCATATTTCTATAGGCTCAGATGTTACAGTTATTAATGCTTCAGTGTGAAGCACGTCGGTTTCAAAATTCATTCCACAGAGGATACCATCTGATCAATAGTTTTCGTCGGTGGGAGGGTCGCGGAAAAAACAATTGTAGGCAAGAATAATTAGGGGAAAACGAGGGGTTTGTTAACAGTATCATTAATTTTTTAGGGGAACAATTAATACTCATTAAATCGGGTGGCGGGTGATAACTGTGATGGATAACTGTGATGCTGTTAGAAACATTGCTAATACGAAATTATACGGGGAAAATAAATTGTCAAGAAGAGGAAATAATGTTCACAATAAAGGAGTGCAAATAAAAAAATTATTTTGTAAAATCATTGATGAGTGTCCGGTCGTTTTTCGTTGTGCAGTCATTCATTGCACGTACGATGAATTATATCATTAGTATTCTTCCTTTATCTATATTGTTTTTCTTTGTTCAATATGTGATAATAGATTAATGAGCCGAAGATGAGGGATGTACGCTTATACTCTTTGCGTATGACAAAAAAAACGTTACAAGCTCTAATTGGATAAATGAGACCTTAAGATACAAAGTAATTTTCCTTTTTCAAGATGAAAATGATAATCTTGATTTGTCTCATGAAAACGTTACTAGCTACGAGGTTTTGAAACAAACATTGATTTTGTTTTGCGCAGGCAACAAGCGATTGCATTGCCAGAAATTTATATCTGAGTATGAGGATTAGTCGACCGCTGAGAAAAAGTTGTCCGTGATTGACGCTTAAATTACCGGTAGTTCTGGCGCTAACGAATAATAAATCTCAGAAGTCATGATTGAATTTGGATTTTCTTCTTTCTTCGTAAAATTTTGGAAATATATGACCGAATTCGAGTCCGATTCAATTTCAGGTTCTCATTTTCAATTCGATGACCGCTCTAATTGCGAGTTATTTAAGACTCCAATAATAAAATGTTTAGCATGCACAGACAAGCAACTTGTCACTCTACCATAGGCGTATATGCCTCAGGTAAATAAATTATCTACTATCTAGTGACTAACACTAAGACTAGTGAAAATGCAACTACAAAAGACTGGTGCAGTTTTTCTAATTCTTTAGAAATATTTCAGCGCTCTGTTGCTCTAATTAAGTGCTCACGGGAAAAAATGCGTTCTCGTATTCATAATGCTACAGTGATCAGACTTTGATAAACCAATCGGAAGCTGAAAATAAGTCATGGAACAACATTAAAATCAACAAGAACTAAGAAGGAGCAAAGCTTTGCCCAACCATTACGACTAAACTATGGGAGACTACGAAGTCGGGTATTTGAAGTCATGCAATAACTGAAATGCTGTACTTATTCTTCAGGTTCCTCAGCTCCAGGAGCAGCTGGAGGGACCTCGTCTTGTGTTTTGCCCAGGATCATATCACACACTAAAGAACAGTTGATTTTGTTTTCTTCTATAGGAGCCAACTCGAAGAAATGATTTACTTCTTTTTCAGAGTATTTGTCTCCAAAAGTCATGAGAGCGGTTTTAAGGCTGTAAAAAATAGCAGTCGATGTACTAGTGGAAAAGAATGTTTCTGACCTCACGAAGTTTTTTGAAAGTTTCAGAGAAAAATGCAGATATACAACGAAAAAATGAGTTGATTATTGCGAGTTGAGAAATCTTGTTATTATAGAAATATTAGCAAAGAGAATAGAAGGAAATGCAGTATTAATACAAATATGTGAAAAACAGGCTAGACAAAAATATATAGAAGAATTATTGAGAAAATCGTGAAATTATGTATAATGCAGATTGGCGTTAATTGAAAAAGTGAGCGAATATAAGCGAAAAATTAAAATGTACGTTGAGAATAGTAAAAACATCATTTAGGTAATTAAAAGGCGTTCAAAATATACCACATTGGATTAATAAGCTCAAACCTGAACGTCCAAAACACGACACAACAACGTATAATCTCGAGGTGGAAGAATTACTTCGTTTGATATTATTGGAGGTGCGAGTATAGCGATGCTCGTCTACAAATTTTTCGTCTTCTATTCTGCCGGAGTTCGGAGACTAGTTAAGCTGTGCATAAAAATACGTTAAATGCGCGTTATGTTGCACGGTGGAGATTATTGCGTGGTGATGAGAAGCATTTCCCACCTGAAAAATCTTTTAAAAGAAAGCACAAGAACCCTAGTATGGTTTGTTTTATACATGAACGATCTTTTGAACGACCTCGAGTAAAATCGATGCCATTTGACGAAAAATTTGCTCCCTAATCTTGCCTAAATTATGTGAGGGATGAGATAGTATTATCTTGAAGTGAAAATGAGATTTTTTAGTTTGAAACATAAACAATTCCCCACCTGTCACATTCAATTTTGCCGTCTTCGTCAGCGAAGGCCTTGAAGGCTGCGACGATGACTTCATCCTCGTCGGTTGCGCCACCCTGGGAAATTTATTGTTTATGTTCGGTAAATGTGGTACATTTTATTGCTTTACGAGAAAGCGGTTGAAACTTATAAGATTGTCGTTGTAATCAAGAGAGTGAGTGTCGTACTTCAGATAAAATTAAACAGAGGTCAGCGGTTGGAGCCTCCCGAAATTTCTGTTGGTCAGCAGAGGTGCGAGTTCATTGCTTAAACTGAGTAAAATATTATGGAAGATTTTTATCTTCTTAGATTGTAGTAAACCAATTTTCTGGTTCCAAAAATTTATATCAGCTCACTGAAGTACACGAAAATTAGAAAAAATTTTACCCAGATTGTTTGTAGCTTGGTGTTCGACCTAACTCATACCTGTTGCCTGGTGCCAAACATGTTGAGAGCTGCTAGAGGACATTAGTTGACAATAAGATTTACATTGTTCGACCTAACTCATACCTGTTGCCTGGTGCCAAACATGTTGACGAGCTGCGTGAGGACATTAGTTGATTACAAGATTCATATTGTTCGATCTAACTCATACCTGTTGCCTGGTGCCAAACATGTTGATGAGCTGCGTGAAGTTGATCGATGCTGCACAGTCGGCCAGCATCTGATCGATCTGTTGCTCTGAGAGGTTCACGCCGACCTCATCAGCCGTGGCGCGGATGTCGCCCCTGCCGATGATGCCGTCCTTGTCGCGGTCCATGAACTGGAAGCCCTCCTTGAACTCGGCCACCTTCAGCAGCCCAAATAACACAGCCATTAGCTTCATAAAACAGGGACAGAAGCTGAGAATAACGCCGAACAAGACTTCTCAGTTCGAATTTAAGTTAATAGTTTTCAACACTGTGATATACGAAGTGATACAAGAAGTTTGAACAATTAAAAACATGAATCAACAATTAAAGTTGACTTAACAAATTACCAAAATTAGAAAAAGCAATTATGTAAGTTTCAGCAGTAATATGAAGTTTATCTGCAAATGCAAAGAAGCATACTTTTGACTTGAATCATTGACGTAAAGTCTTTGAATAGTATTTCATTGATTTTACTATTGAAGGATGATTTATATAGCAACATTTTAAAGTATTGTTATATAACATAATAATTCAACATCTGAAAACAGATTATAGCTAAAGTATGGATAACTAGATGATAATGAATGTTTGCACCTGCTTCTGGCTGAACTGGTCGAAGACATTGCTGCCTCCTCCACCTCCCTTGGAGGCCTTCTTCTTGTCCTTCTTCTTCTTGGACGCGGCGGGAGTTGGGGCGGGCGCTTCAGGCTGCAACCCAGACACACAATGGCATGAAATATGGATGTGGATATTAATTTTTGGATATCCAGATGTGGATTTCACTTTTGAGTAATCCAGATGTGGATTTTTTTTAGAAATGCAGATGAGAATTTCACTTTTGGGAAATCCAGATGTGGATTTCACTTTTGGGAAATCCTAATCCTCCACTTTTGAGTAATCCAGATGTGGATTTTTTTTAGATGAGAATTTCACTTTTGGGAAATCCAGATGTGGATTTCACTTTTGGGAAATCCTAATCCTCCACTTTTGAGTAATCCAGATGTGGATTTTTTTGAGAAATCCAGATGAGGATTTCACTTCTGAGTAAGCCAGATGTGGATTAATTTTTTGGACATCCAGATGTGGATTTATTTTTTGGACATCCAGATGTGGATTTCACTTTTGAGTAATCCAGAGGTGGATTTTTTGGAAATCCAGATGAAGATATCACTTTTGAGTAATCCAGATGTGGATTTATTTTTTGGAAGTCCAGATGAGGATGTCCATTTTAAAAATCCAGATGAAGATTCCCCTTTTGGAAATTCAGATGTGGATATCTCTTTTGGGAATCCTCACATAAAAACAAAGAGTTATATTGTACCAAATATGACTAAGAAATGTTAACTTAAGATAATTTTGGAATTTAAATAGTGTAGTTAAAATCAGTCATATGTATTTTTCCACTCCAAATCCAGGAATTCAAATACCCCGAGAATATGACAGTCAATGTCATTAGCGAATACAATGTAAATAAGATATGATTTCGATGCGAATATAACGACGTTCCACCGTTCGGACTATGAATAGTAATTGATGTGAACGTAGGAATTAGGTAGCACAATAATTACTCAGCCGAACTTTTATTTAAAGTTTACTTTTTCTAACATGAGAAGCATAAGGTTTATTAATGTATTTTTTCAGAAATGTCGTCATTTCAATGCTTCTAATTTATGTCACATTAGTCATTACTCGTTGCGCAGCGATCGTCTCTTACATTTATTATGTGTTTTCAGTCGCTATTATTTTCTCAGTTGCTTGTTATTTAGACTACATTTATTTCTTTTTTTGTTTGCATTTAGTTTATTATTCAATTTGAACTTAATTTCAATAGAAGATGTGACTAGCAAAGTGTCACTGAGCGGCTGTTGGCGCGCTCAGGTTTGTAGAGCAGCGCTCGCTATTTCAGGCGCTGGCTTGGCACGCCGCCCTGCAGGCTCTCATTGTCGTCTCTCTCTGGGCCCTGGCACACGCACTGAAGAAACTGACACCCTCAGGCAGCGCTATTATCTTGTATTTCCTCGTGCATGGTTGTATGTATTAATGCGGTGGATGTTTGTATGTTATGCGGAGGTTGTTTGCCTGTATTAAAGCACTGACCGCTCTCGCATATTAATTCAGCATTCGTTTACCTGTAAAAATGCAATGATTGAATTCGTGTATTAATACAGCGGCCGTTTGTCTGTATTATTGCATTGACGGCTTTCGGGTATCAATTTAGTGGTAGTTTTTGTGTACTAAATCGTGGTAGCTTTCGTGTACTGATGGACCTATATAACCGTAATAAATTAAACCGATTAGGAACGTGCTGCGGTATTTTAATTATTACTGTTCGGCCTTTAAGCTGATTAGTTTTGACGGAACAGTTCAATGAGGGAGTTGCTACAGTCACCTTGGCTGCTGTTATTAAATTATTTTATATATAAGGCGCTATTATGTAACCATAAAAAATATTGTGATGTTAGATAAGAAGATAATCTCAAATGAATTATAGTTAAGTCAACAGCTTCTACAGGCCTTATCTCTCCCCACCATTAATTGAGTATTTCCATAAAAAGACAGGAAAATTTTAGCTAAACGACATCTCGTAAACATAACGGAATGAAGAAGTCTTGGTGAACGTCAGCAAAACTATGTTTAATTGCTAAAAGCATTTCGTGACTATTACAAACATATACCTTCAGCATACCAGCAACACATCAAGTGGTACTCGTGGGGACCGCATCGAGTTGCAATCGGGGGACCACATAAATTGGCAAGTAAAGGGACCACATCAAGTAGCTAGCGAATGGACCGCATTAAGTGACCAGCTAGGAGACCACATCAAGTGGCAAACAAAAGTAACACATCAGGTGGCAGCGCGAAGGACCTGCCTCAAGTGGCAAGCGGTGGATCACAATAAGTAGCAAATGTGGGGACCGCATTACTTCAAGTGGCAAGCGAAGGATCACATCAGGGGGCAAGCGTATAGAAGATGACAGTAATGTCTTCGTAACGAACAATTTGCCAGGTGCCAGGTTTGCAATTATGTGAATTTTCACTTGAAATAAAGAGGATTACCACATTAAAGAGCCTCCAAATAGATATTTCTGACAAAATTCTATCCTTAATTGCCCATTTAGTATAGCCGAGGAAAGAGACTAATACGAAGCAACTCTGAAGTGCGGAGATGGATATCAAGATATTAATTCCTATTGTTGTTTTCGTTGATTATATTGCCGATTGGACGTTTCTAAACTGCTCATCCACGCGGAAATACTACCTTCTCGTTTATTACATCTACTCATGGTTAATGCAAATTCGGCTGTCTACATCCGGATTTCTTTTTTTTCTATAAATCAATTTTAAATGCAATTGAAAATATTCAGTTAAACGGCATCGCTAAATTATCTAAGGCTCGTCCGTTAAAAATACGGGCATTAGTCACGAATAGAGCGCGGCTGCCAAAGGCAGGGAGCAGCCGTGACGCTCCTTATAAAGACGGAGGCGAGGAGGATCGAATGCCACTTACGACAGCCATAGATGCTGAGCCGGCTTAGCAGCTAGTCGTCTATTGGTAATACATTCTAGATTATTAAAGATGTACTTATGTTATCTTTTATTTACTTCATGAGCTGAAGCTTGAGCATTATGATTTGGAAATCATTTCATTCGGCGTATGGAATTAGGTAAAGGCATCCTGATTTCATGAATAGATAAACAAATATCCTGCTGCGAACAGTTTTTAGTCGGTTTATAGTTTTGTTATTCTATTATGTCAGGACGAAAAATTCATCACAAAATCAGGTTTCAAAATAGCGGCAATGAGGTACAATTAGCTTTATTGAGTAACAAGTCTTCATGAGAAGAGGAATATTTTTAGAATCAAATTAAAGAGTGATCACTTTCGGCAAGACATTTTGGTGGACATTTCGGCAAGACATTTTTTGCTATACCCTTCTCAATTTTGCTTTTTCGTGTAAAAGGGAGAAAATGTGAGAAATGGTAATGACGTCATCATTTTAAATACTTGAAAACATAGTTATGTATAAAAATCGAGTTTTTACGTTTGTAACCATTTGCAATTCCACTTACACACGAGGCAACTCGGTTAATTCAATCGAAACAATAAATTCTTTACTCCGTATTATGCTTAAAATAATGTCCGTTGTGAGTTCTCGTGAGTGCGATATATTTAGTAGCTTGATTCTCCCCATGAGCTACAATAGAATGAAGCCTTTAATAACGAACGCGTTTTTCGGCTCAGTCAAGACAACAACTGCTTAGTTTCTGCGTTCAGTTCTTCGTTCTTTCTGAGCTCAAAATCTTAATGATGATCGAAATATCGGATACCGAAATTCATTATATTCTTTAGTATATCAGAATCAAGGTCACGCTTCCTATTAACAGTTTTTGGTCAATGTAAAACAAGAGAAGACTTGTGCTCTCAGAACTAATTTACAATTATTCAATAGAAATATTAATGAGAAAAATTGTAATCATTTTCTATTCAACTATAGTTATTTATACTGAAGGGTAGTACTTATTACCCATCAAAATGTCCATTTTCACACCAAACTCAAGGCAATTATGCTAAGCTCTCTATAGTTATTCGTTCTTAATTTTGATTCGTAGACTGATGATCTCACTGCTTCCTAGTCGCCAACTCTGACAAGTTTTGAACATGTATAAATTTATTTTTAGAGCCATGAACTAACGGAACCCTCAGAGGCTCATGGTAGAGATATATTGTGTCATCTCACTGTTTATCATAAATTATACGTCATCTATGATAAATTTTTATGCTCAATAAGTAAACTATCATCGTAAGCTTAATTAAGTTATTCCGCCACTGATGCTCTCCAGTAATGAATTTAGCATGAACCTATTTGAATATTAAATTAATTCCATTTGTGTAGGCTTTCAAACAAATCAATGCTGTTGCGATTGCGCATTGGTACCTTTTTTTCAATCAAATTGAACAGTTGTTATGTCGCGAGGCGCACATGCGGGTCATAAAACAAGGGGAACCCAAATATACTCACGCCACAGCAGACCACACAGAATTTATACTCGACATTCACTGAGCGCTCCAAACTCCATTATAAGATATTGCTTCGTGCGTGTCAAGAAATTGCTCTTCCGTTTTCTTTACGTGTCACTTGATGAATTCCTTCCTTCTCGACCGCCCAGTAAGTCAGACTCAAAAGCATCACGATGATCGCAATATCGCATATAATTTCTTTAATTTACAGGATTTATTTGAAACGATCAGTGATTGTGAGTAGAATTGACGTCAACGTAAAATTTTCGACGTCCTGGGCAAGCAGTTTGGCAGACGTGCACTCACCATGACTGTATACTGTACGGGTCCTCAAAGGTAAACCGGCTCACTCGGTCGTACCCTTGCTTCTTATAGTGGGGGGCGTTGCTCCCCGAGAGCAGGGGGGTCGAACGACCCCCCTAAGCCAGGGGCTTCCTCCACCTTCACTTAGTTTGTTCGTACATTGCCAGCAAGGCTGTCTCACTAGACCTTGTTTAGGGGTACTGTAAACGGACTACCGTTTGTCACAACTTATTTCTGTCCATTTCATCCAACTAGACTAACATAACTTCAAAATGTTAAACGCTTTTCAATGCTTAATAGTATTCTTGCTTTGTTCAACGTTGTTGTCTAATTTCAGGCGTACTACAGAATGGCTAAGTAGTTTCTGCAGGCAAATGCTTGGCTTGATTTGATCGAAGACGATTAACGTTATAAGTTCAAATGTTGTTAAACTTGAGTTTGACCTGTTTTGTTGGACGGTATGATGGAATGCTAGCGCAAATGCTAATCAACAATTTAATTATTATCATTTTATATCATTCCCTTACTTAACCACGCCGCTCACTCAACTATTTTAGAAAAAAAAACATAAATGAAATTGCCATTGCCGAAAACCATGACAGACACGATATTTAATATGCTTCCTAAGCGTACGTGATGAGCTGTTGAAGGAATGCTCACAGGATACTATCCTAATGTCGGCAACGTACGAATCCTGACTTCACTGTTCTCTCTAACATCGCATTTCCTGCCGAGTAGCGCGAGACAGCTCTTTTAAGACTAGAAATAAAAATAATTTTGTTTATTATTTTTCCCTGATAATTTTTGCTCGAAATTGCATCCATCCGTTGTACGAATATTTTAATCACTATTTTATTCACATTGGAGTTACTGAAAGGGACTTTATTGCGGAGTGGAAGTGTAAATAATAATGATTATCAGACTGACACATAATCCTCATTCTACTCAATTTCGAGTGCCACGTATGAGAAAGAAGAGTAGAAGATCCAAGCAACGGCCGTGATGGGAATAAGTGGAGAAGCGAAGCGTAATTTCAGTCGGTAGTTGGCACGATACGAGCTCCGACGAAAGGCTTGGCCGCCACAACTGGGGCACCTGCCTGCTATGTCGACACCACGAACCTAGTCTTCAGAAACTGCCGCAGTGAAAATAAGCAACGAAATCATAGACCAATGAGAGAATAATATAAACCTAACAATTTGAATGACAGTGATGATTGGAACGGTTCTTTGAGTAAGCTGAATCACCGACAACAATGCTTCACAATACTACGGGACGCTTGAACTTACCTTGGAAAAGAATCTGAGCATCAAATTTCTTCAGGCATGGAGAGAAAAACGCAAAGTTCTTATTCAAAAAGAGGTTGAAGGAATTTACATTTTGAGCAATTGCGATGACTAATTACTGAAGAAGTGTTGGCTATTGCCATCATATATCACTCAGCAAGCATTCTAACATTATTTGCAATGATAAAATCCATGAAAAGACCAGTAGAATAAAAATCCAGTAGTTCATAAGCCTAGAATGGGATATTTTTGCATGCATTTAATTGTTGAAGAATGCAGCTTTCTCGGTTTGGTTGGTAGGAATAGCGTTTTTGTTCTCGGCGCACATTTTTGCGCGGTGGCGGGAGACGGGGGCTGACAAGCCGTTATATTTAGAGCGGCGAACGCGCCCAGAAGTGAGCCGCGCAGAGCGCACACGGCGGCTGCTGCGCGACGTCGTGACGACTACACTAACTACACTTCAAAAACGTATATACTTATCCTTAATTATATCTGATATAATTATTCATCATTGTTTAGGGAAGAGCTTTAGAAACTCATTGAATTCAAGCTTTCATTCAGGGTTCGAATAAATCGTACTACTATCAGAAATTTTCATCAAATATACTCCGTGATATCAAAATTTCTTACCATAAACGCAAACCATATTTCGAACCAGAATATCCTAATGCCCCCTAGATTTTAATATCAATACCAATAAACTAAAGCATCCTACATCCCACGATGTCTACCCTTGAAAACAGGTGCTTCCCTTAAGCAACGTCAACATTGACAGCGTCAAACTACGAGTGACAGGGACATAATCTCATTTTAAATAACACCCGGGAGCCCCTAATCTAACCTTAGTTTTCCCCAGATAGTTTATTGAGGTTGACACAACCATGCCCAAGAGCATGGTCATCCTTACCACGAAAAGGCCTTGCAGTCCTTAACCCGA